AATACTTTTTTTTTTTCATTGCAAGCAGGTGCAAACTAGACATAACTTCTTCCGTAGAGATGGCAGAACATGTCTGAGTCCCATTGTCAGCACTGGTTAGCCCTGTACAGGCCCCATGAATGCTGCCACAGTCTCTGTAAGGACATATATGTGTCAATTTTATTATATTTGGAAGACACTATTTCCTTGGAATGGCCTATCACTTCTGACTCTTACAATGTTTCTCCTTAGCAGAACTTTCTGTGCCGTAACAGGAGGGGGTTGATGAAGACATCCCATTCTGGACTGAATCTCCAAATCTCTCTTTCTGGACATTGTCCAGGTGTAGGTCTCTATGTTAGTTCCCCCTGTGTGCAACAGTAGGAAGCCTGTCTAATAATGGCTGAATAAAGCATTGCTTTATGATTATAACAGAATGTTGATAGAAGTCATTTTATTTTTATGTTCCAGTAACAGATGTGTGGTACCTGGTTTTCTCCTAGACCCATATCCTATCTAGTGTGAAGTTTTCAGCCTTCTGAGAAGTGTCATGCATGAGTTTCAGCTCTTGGAGTAGAGCTTAAATCCTGATAGAGAATGGTTGTGTATTACAACAATGGAAGGCCATTTTGTTTTGAGAGCAGTCCTTCCTAATTATGTATTTTGTAAGAAGGGATGGTAAGTAGCTATGTTGTTGTAAACAGGGAAGGACAGAATTGGAGTTGAAAAAAATATATTCTTTTTTTTTTATTTATTATTCTTATTGATCCCAGTTCCCTCTCCCCTCCCTCCTTCCTCTCTCCCACCCTCCCATGTCCCCTGACCACCCTCCCATCCCATTCCCCCAAACTCCACAGGGATGGTGATGACTTCCAGAAGGGGTCATCTAAATCTGTCAAGTCATTTGAAGTACGAACTAGGCTCTCCCTCCTGCTTCTAGGTTAAGGGAGCATCCCTCCATGGGGAATGTGCTCCCAAAGTCCTTTTGAACACCAAAGATGCATCCTGGTTCCACTTTCAAAGGTCCCTTAGACTGCCCAGGCCTTCTAACTGAGACTCATGTTCAGGGAGTCAGTCCAATGCTGGTTTCCCAACTATCAGTCTGGGGGTCCATTAGCTACTCCTTGTTCAGATCATCTGTCTCTGTGGGTTTCTGTAACCTAGTCTTGTCCTTCCTCTCTGCATCTGGATTCCAGTTCAGCTCAGCGTTTAGCTGTGGCTGTCTGCTTCTGTTTCCATCAGCTACTAGATGAGGGCTACATGATGGTGGTTTAGTTAGTCATCAATCTCATTATCAGGGAAGGGTATTTATGGTAGCCTTTCCACTGTTGCTCAAATTGTTAGTTGGGTTCAGTCTTGTAGGTCTCTGGACGTTTCTCTGAAGTCAGTTTTCTCTTCAAACCTATAATGGTTCCCTCTTTTATGGTATCTCTCTTTCTTTTTTTTTTCTCTCATCTGTTTCTCATCTGACTCAATCTTCCTAGTCCCACGTGCTTTCCTCACTTATCCTTCTCCTTCTCCTAGTTCCCTCTCCACTCACTGCCCCCCCATTCCCCATATGCTCTGGAGTTCTTGTCACTTTCCTCTTCTGTGAGGGACCTTATATGAATCTTTTAGAATCCTCCTTGTATCCTAGTTTCTCTGGCCGTGTGAATTATAGGCTGGCGATCCTTTGCTCTATGTCTAAAATCCATATGTGAGTGAGTACATACCATGTTTCTCTTTTGGTGACTGGGTTACCTCATTCAGGATGGTTTCTTCAAGTGCCATCCATTTGTCTGCAAATTTGAAGATTGCATTGCCCGCCCCCCAAGAGTAGTATATTCTGATCATAGATACAATGTTGTTAGTTTCTTTCCTTGGAGGTAAGCTTAGTAAAATCTTTGCTTCCTTAGAGTTGCTGAGAATCAGGACGTGAAAATAATTTTAAGATTCTGGAAGCATAGGTGTTTTGTATGCTTTCCCCCTTTCAAGAAAGTTTTGAGAAAATAGAGAGTAGGAAAGAAAAAAAGGAGCTTAGATTCTTGCTATTACCATTCTCCTTATTAGGTTGTATCACCTTAGACCAATGCTTCTCAGTGGTTTTATTGTAGATTCATTACAAATAGTTAAATTACATGTTACAGTAGAGCAAGATTTTGGAAAGTAACAAGCAGTAATGTAGTCTAGTAGTGCCAATGATAAGGCAGGCTCTCAGTCAGTTTAGTGGCTAGTTGAACTTCTGAATGCAATCAGCGTCATATAACCCAAATTGAATGACCTTTTGAAGATTGGGTGATATTTAATAAATATGATTGTAAGTTTACTAATGCAAAGAAAATGAATGAAAATTCTAGCAAAAAAGACATTCCACGAAAAAGAATGGAATAGAAACTTTTTTGCCTATGATAAGCTTATCAATAAAACTAGTACATTACTAGTTATTCAAGTTTATTTTTGTGTTCATATGACACAAGCCAGGGTATTCTGGATAGAAGTGACTCAATTAAGAAAGTGTCTTTATCAGATTATCTGTGCAGACTATTCTTTGGCATTTTCTTGATTGATAATTGATATAGTAAGGCCCAGCCCACTGTAAGCAGTGTTACCACTTAACAGCCTATGTTGTATCATTTAAGAAAACAGGCTAAAAAAGCCACAGGGAGCAACCCACTGAGCAGCTTTGTTCCATGATCTGCTTTGCCTCCAACCTTGCTAATAGGCTGTTTCCTACAAGTGTACCCTGAAATAAACCCTTTCTTTCCTAAGTTACTTTTGGTTATGCTGTTTATGACAGAAATAGAAACCTAATTAGACACCAATCTTACAAGGTTTAAAAGCCGAGGACTCATAAATATTACAAAATACTACAGAAAAACTCTCCTCCAAACATAATTTTTTTTTAATATGAGCATCGAATTGAAGAGTAATGGTATACTCTTCACATGAAATTCTGAGCTATAATCCCTGAGTTTTGCTCTGAACACATTATAGCAGGAAATGGAGGAGCATTATAGTCCTTGATGTTAGAATCTAGAGAATTAAAAAAGATGACTACCAACTGTGTCCCATGATGGCCTTGGGTAAGTGATTTAACTCCTCCAGAGTTCTGAAAAATAGTTTTGCAAAGCCTGTTTCTGCAATAATTTAGAGGCTCAATTAAACATTTCTAACAGAGTTCTGCCCTATAAACAAATGTCCCTTTTGGCCCTTTTAGTAGATGAGTGAGGACTGAGTGTCCCTGTAATTATTGTGAGGGCACTGTGAACTTCTCCATCACAAATGGGTAATTGACAAACCCTATTTTTAGTGCTATTCTCCCGAGGGAGAAAAGTGGGGACAGTTAAAGTCCTTCCAGTGAAGAACCAGCATAAATTTCATGGAATCATTCAAGATCAATTTAATATATTAGTAGGAGTTGCACGATCTGTCATCATGCATTAGTGCCCACCAGAGAAAATAGAACTGGAAAATTAGCAAGGTTGAAGGTGAGATAAATGTCCTGTCACTTGCATAGGGTCCCTAGGCGCATCCTCTATCAGGGAAAAGACATCCATATTCAAAGACTTGGAAATTTGTTACTTGATAATACCTATATTTCCAAAGGAAAAGTATCCAAGTCATACTGGAAAACATCAAGGTAGGAAAAGAGAAAACAAATACTTGTGGGTTTACTCGAGGGAACCTGAATTATACATGAATTATTTTAAACGACATTTTAAACGACGCCTATATATTTACATATAGGCAAGTATTCCCCTATCATAAAACTTTTCTGACATGGTAAATAAATATTTTGGAACAACTAAGATTCTCTTTACTTTCCATTAGTGAATGATGTAATTTATAGTATAGAAATTTTGGGGTATGTATAATATGCACCTCAAGAACTTCAGTGATACATAAAAGTTTCAAGCCAGCAGAGGGCTCCCTCCTGCAAGGTAGGTCTACACCTGTGAAGTGTAGCAATGCCTATTAATGAGGCACAAGAGTAGGATTTAATACTGTTGTTGACCTCAGAATTTGCTCAAATCCTGTGTGTAACTAAGAAATATAAAAACTGAACGAAGCAAAGCCAAACCCACTTCTGACGCTTGAGGTATAATTGTTAGTATTTCCATCCATGCAAAGTTAATTTTCTTCTGCTGTCGCAGCTTGAAAAGCGAATCTGCTTCCGCTTGGCTTCATGAATATACACAGACTTCAGTAGCCTAATTTTCTGACAGCGCCTGAAAAGTGAGGCTAAACAACTATAGTCAGTCTTCTTAATTCAGTGATGTGTGTTAGTAAAGAGTAATGAAAGTCATAATGAGGATTAGCACTTCTGACTTGGACAGTGAAAATTGTCTGAAAAAATATTGAAGGAAGGGAACAGTTCTTATTTTTTAAAGACTTTTTTTTCAATTTTTTTCTGAACATAGTTCTTATCTTTGTCAGTTTTTTCCAAATGGAACATATAACAGACTTTTAATATTTCAATAAGCAATATACAAGCATCACTTTGTCACTTCTGTTCAGACACTTTTATTAACAGTATTATGACAATTTGAAATAGCATGAATTATAAGGTACTCCTCAAGCTGTTGAAACAAATTGCCCCAATATTTTACATGTATGTATTATAAGTTAACATGTTGAACAAACTAATTCTTTCCAGTTCTAATCATTTTCGTCACATTGATTTATTTTTATGCAATGATAGATCATTTGTTTACAAAGGCAAATGCCAGCTTGCATAGACTCCAACACATTTTAAAGACTACAGAGATGGATTTAAGTATAATTTTAGCAAATGTCAAAGTAAAAGTTGTCAAACAAAGCAAGACAGATGCAATTTTCATTCTGTTAAATATTTTAACCCCATCCTTTCTTTTTCATAGCCATTGCGATAGAGAAGAAAAGCAAATATAGCCTCAAAGTATATAAATAACTTGGCTTTTACTAAGAACAAATAGTATAATTCACGTTAATTTTGGAAGAAAAATGAACGTGAGAAGCATAGGTAAATAAGTACTGTGAATTTTCATTATCTAAGTAGCTCCTGTAGACAGTTTGTAAGATAACAATCTTTGTGTAATGGTGACATGCCATGGACAACAGACAGGACTGAGAGATCTCTTTGTTGTAAGTAGGATTACTTCCAAGAGCCAGCAGTGAGTTGTTTCATGGTTCTGACTCCCCAAAAAGCAATGCAAACAGAAAAGAAAATCTAAAAGAAAGAAAAACAAGAAAACAAATGTGAGTCCAAACTTTTCCACTGTGTTAAATTATTTTCCTGGAATAAAACAAACAAATGATTTCACTTAGTCAAATTTCTTAAACAAATTTTAGCAAGTGGCTCAAAGATTGGATTTAGTCAACTTAACATGAGGCATTCTATGTAAGTATAAAAAGGAGAGTAAGAAGATCATTTTTCCTTTTTTTTTTTTGTTGTTCTTACATTTACATATATGTGCTATTTAATTATATGGAGGCTAGATAAACTAGATACTGAAGATACTGAACATAATGAACAAGTTTCTTCTACATTTGTGAATTCCAAATATTAAATTTTCTATCTTAAATGATGTCATTTGTTCTATAGTTTAAGAGCCTTAACAATATGAGGAGTGAAAACATTGTTCAAGAATCATTTTCCTCTAAGGTGATACAATCTATCCTACTACTCATTTCACTCCACAAAAATGAAATTCACAAAACTGTGGCTAACTTGTCTTCTCCATCTCGATCTCACTATGTAAAAAAATAAATAAATGCACACACACACACACACACACATTTTTGGATAACATCAGATACAACAAATCACCAATATTATTGTTTTTCTAATGAATTTAGCAATAAGAAGCAAATAGCAATTCCCAGCAGGAATAATGGTTGTAGCATTTTCTGCTTTATGTAATATAAATATTATATCCCCCTACTGAATCTGTTTGTGCACAGGTTGAGTGTTATGTGCTTTCAGGGTTTTTCTATGTGAATGCTTCCCCTTGTTCTTTTTGTTAAGCTGCGGGGCAGCCTTCCTGATAATAAACATTAGATGATGATGAAATGGCCTAACTTACTGTAATAAGTTTGTAATGATTGGGAAAACTATGTGGGTCTCCTCCCCATAGCATGTCTCTCTATATTCAGCTTCCTCTGCAAACTACTATAATGCTACCCTACGGGTTACTTTTCCCCAGGAAGACATTTATTATTTCTGGAAGATTCATAGAGATATACAATGGAAAAAGACTTAAGCAGTTAAATTAGAATATGAGGGGATGAATTACTAAGTTAAAGCCAATGACATCAACTGACAATCAAAATACCTTTGCTGCCAGAATGAGAAAAATTAAACAATGAGAGCAACAATAAAAATAAATAAATAAACAAAATGGTTTTTGCTAAACATTGGTGCTTACATGTGATATATTGTTCAATTTCATTTAAACTTCCTGGTTCTTTTTATATGATCATTAGTCTGAATAACAGCTAGTCATAGAGATTTGTTCCCCTTACTCTTTTCATTCCTTTCAGGCTATCTCATCCACAAAATTAAAAAAAAAAATGAAAATAAAAATCAGTATTTATATTGAAGCCAAAGGAAAGAATAATATTAACATATTGGAGTTGCCTGAGAAGTCAAGCACAATGTATGTAATGGCTGGTTTTCATTTTGTTTCTTTTGACTGTAACTCAAGAGAAATGACTTCATGAGGTTCTTCACGGTGGTGCCAGGGAAAACAACACCGGGGCTGGAAGAGAATTGTGAACACTACTATACTTCAGTAGCAAGTTCCTTCTACTTCTGAAGATTAGTTGATGTGGGCAGGATGGCTGAGAATAAAGTTTCCCAAGATGTCAGAGATGATATCTGTAATATTGGTAAATATTTTACGTGAATTCGGTATCTCTATCAAACAACTAGTACATGATGGTAGAATCTGAAATATATGAAGTGTCAATAAAGGATTTTGTTAGGTTTGAATCTGATGTCTAAGATCACAAGGATTTTCTACATGGAGGTGGACTGTGGTGAGTGATTTCCATGAAATCTCAAAAAAATGATGGAAGTGCCATAACTCTTTTTCCTTTTCCCCATGTATTAATAGTCTCCTTTAGACTTCTCATACTTCTACCTGGCTTCTCAGTAATACTGAACACTGTTCAGTAAAACAAGAGTAAAAAAGTTAAATATTACAGGATATGACTTCGTTCTTTTTTCTCTCAATTTTTTTTATATACTATACATACCAACCACAATTTCCCTTCCCTCTTCCTGCCTCCCTCATTTCTCACCATCCCACCCTCCATCCATTCTCCAGAAAGGGTAAGGCCTACCATGGGAGGTCAACAAAGCCTGGCACATTAAGTTGAGGCAAGACAAAGCCCCTTCTCCCTATATCAAATCTGAGCCAAATATGGGCGATGGGTTCCATGAAGCCAGCTCATACGCCAGGGCTAGAATCTGGTCCCACTGCCAGGGCCCCACAATCAGACTGAGTCACACAATGTCACCCACATATAGGGAGCCTAGTTTTGGCTAGAGTCCATCAACTCCCACATTCTCAAGTCAGCTGTCTCTGTGGGTTTCCCCATCATGAACTTTATGTACTTTGCTCATATACTCCCTCCTTCCACTCTTCAACTAGACTCTTAGAGCTCAGTCCAATGCTTCACTGTGGATCTCTGCATTTGATTCCATCAGTTACTGGAAGAGGTTAGTGTTTGTTTTTCTGTGTTTGGGTTACATTACTCAGGATGATGTTTTGCTGGTTCCCTCCATTGATCTGCAAATTTCATGATGCTTTAATTGTTTTTTACAGATAAGTAATATCCATTGTGTAGACATACCACATTTTCTTTATCAGTGTTTTGTTGAGGAGCATCTAGGTTCTTCCCAGGTTCTGGCTATTATAAATAATGTTGCTATGAACATAGTTGAACAACTTTCCTTGTGGTATGATTAAGCATGCATTGGTTATATGCCCAGTGATGACTGGATCTTGAGGTAGATTGATTCTTAATTTTCTAAGAAACCACCATACTGAATATCATAGTGACTGTACAATTTTGCACTGCCACCAGAAGTGGAAGAGTGTTCTCCTTTCTCTACATCCTCTTTAACATAGCTATCACCAGTGTTTTTGATCTAAGCCATTCTGACAGGTGTAGATAGTATCTCAGAGTTGATTTGATTTTCATATCCTTGATGACTCAGGATGTTGAGGACATTCTTAAATGTCTTTCAGCCATTTGAGACTCTTCTGTTGTGAATTCTGTGTAGATCTCTACTCCATATTTTATTGGATTATTTGATAGGTACCACATACAAAAATTAAATCAAATCTGGATTAAACAGTTTAAATAAATCTATAACCCCCACGGAAATAGAAGAAATCATTAAAAGTCTCACATTCAAAAAACACCCAGGGCAGCTCAGAATTATACCACAATTTCAAAGTAGAACTAACACCAATACTCCTCAAATTGTTCCACACAGTAGAAACAGAATGAACTTTGTCAAACTTTTTTTCTTAATGAGGCTACAGTTATCCTGATGCCCAGAACACACAAAGAGAATTATAGACCAATCTTCCTCATGGATATTGATCCAGGAGTACTCACTAAAATACCAGCAAACCAAATCCAAGAACACATCAAAAAAAATCCACCATGCTCAAACCAGAGACAAAAGGATGGCCCAACATATCAAAATTTGTCAATGTGATCCACCATATTAAAAACTGAAAGAAAAAAAAAACACATGATCATTTCATGAGATGCTTAAAAAGGCATCAACAAGATCCTTCACCTGTTCTTGGAGAGATCAGGGGTACAAGGAACTTACATAAACATAATAAAAGAATTATTCAGCAAGCCAATATTCAATATGAAATTAAATGGAGAGAAACTCAAAGTGATTTCACTAAATTCAGGAGCTACACAAGGCTGTCCACTTTCCATATCTATTCAATATAGTACTCAAATTTCTATGACTTGGTTATTAATTCATCATGATGGGAAACTTTGTTACTTTGAAACATGTGGACCTCCTACTTACCAAAGCCGAAGTATTTCCTATTCCCTCTGTTTCCTACCCACCTCAAATGTAGTCAGCACCCTAAAGAGGAGCAGGATTAATTTTGTTCATTTTATCTGTTTGGGTGTCTATGGACCAATCCTCCAAAGAGACATCCAGCTGGTATCTTTCAGGTTCTCAGAGCGATGCTTGGACCAGGAAAGCTCTTGGTGTCCTTACCAGACCATGTTGTCTGATTGGTACATGTCTTGGAGGATTGGTATCTACTTTGTGGATAAAGCAGTAGGAGCTCAAAATGTGTTAATATATGATCACTAAACAATCTCAAGTGTGTCAATAGCTGGAATTAGGCTTCACATTTGCAATAGTCCCCTGAAAGTGTCATTGTGTATACAACTATGGAGACAGCAGGGTGAGATGAGCATCACAACCAGAGATAAGAGCATTTTTTTTTTGTTTTGTGTTTTAAGATTAACAACCTGGATATGCAGGTTTTAAATCCAATAGCTGATAGGCTTTAAAGACGTTTTCACAATCAGTACTTTAAGGATTTACATTAGAGTTTTTAAACATAATGAAATATATATAGATGAAGGGTCACAGAAGTGATGTAAAATAACTACATCACTAAAACTATGGTTGACATAATTTCTTTGTTAGAGATATTAAAGTGGAGGAAAATAAATTAGTTTTTATTGTCTGAACATATATGTATCGATATATTATATTACCATATTTAACATAAAATAAATTCAATTATGTTACATGCACAATTTAATATGATAATTATTTGGTATACAATTCATTTAACCACTTGATTATTGATATCAATTCTGTCAAAATTTTTCTTTTCTTCAATTTTGTTTGATTTTGCATTAAGCTGTTCATTTTGTTTTTCCATATCTATAGAGATTAAATATGTCTCATTTGTTAATAGATCATTAACATATTCCTCAGTCAAATGCAATGAAGGAAGTTTCATTCTTCTTTAAGTATAGTGACAGAATAAATGCATGTTGTATCTTTTTTGCATTTATTTTTACATATTTCTCTAATATTTAGATATGTTTCCATATATATACAAAGTCAATATACCCTCATTTTATTGTAGGTCTGGCCAAGTCCCATAATTTTAACAGCTGGATGCAAAATATGAAACAGAGGAAGTTCAATCTCAGTGT